CTGGTTGATTGCCCAGACACCAGACACCTGGCGAGACCAAGGCCCCAGCTGGGCAGAGTAAACCTGCCCCACAGGGTCTCTCTAAGGCTGTCAATCTTCACAGAAGCAAAGCCCAAACCACACCCACTGCCATGGAGTTGATTACGTCTCACAGTGCCCCTAGAGGACAGAGTGGAACTGCACCCAGGGTCTCCAAGGCTGTCAATCTTCACTGATGTTGTTATGTGCCGTCGAGTCGGACCCAACTCATAGCGACCCCTCCTTGGGTTTCCAAGGCAGTATCACTATGGAAGTAGATTGCCCCATCTTCCTTCTGAGGAGTGGCTGGTGGGTTTGAACCACCAGCCTTCTGGTTAGTAGTCAATCTTCACTGAAGCAAAGCCCAAACCTCGCCCACTGCCTTGGAGTCGATTCTGACCCACAGCGCCCCTACAGGACAGAGTGGAATTGTCCCATAGGGTTTTCAAGGCTGTCAGTCTTCACCGAAGTAGACTGCCACTTGTTTCTCCCTCAGAGTGGCTAGTGGGTTTGAACCACCGACATTTCAGTTAGCAGTGAAAGTAACCACTGCACCAGTGGGGCTCCTGGTTTAGGCACAGGGAACTCCAAACATGCCCAGACTATGCTCTGGGGAGCTGGTGTCCCAGTGGAGATAGACAGGACAAGCAAAAATGGTGAAGAGCTCTGTTGTTGTTGTTGTTATGTGCCGTCAAGTCAGACCCAACTCATAGCGACCCCTCCTTGGGTTTCCGAGGCAGTATCAACTACGGAAGTAGATTGCCCAACCTTCCTTCCGAGGAGTGGCTGGTGAGTTTGAACCCCCAGCCTTCTGGTTAGCAGTCAAGTGCCTTAGGCACTGTGCCACCAGAGCTCCTGTGAGGAGCTCTAGGGGAAAGCATAGGTGCGTGGCCCTTGGAAGGGCAAGGGCGGCTGGAGAGAAACTCAAATGCACACATCCCATGCCCACTGCCCCTGCAGGACCCTGCTCTCCAGCCCCAGAAGCCCTTCCCCCACCTCTGCACAGCTGTGGACCCTCTACCTCCTTGAGCCCATTCTCTCTCTTCTCCACTCCAAAGCCCTCCCCAGACCCCTGCCCACGAGACCCTGACCTTCTGACCCTGACCCTCCAGCCTGCGTACTTTGTGAAGGACAAGACGCTGAGCGTGGTGAGAAAAACCAGGTTGAAGGTCAGTCCCACCTCCGGGATCACCCGTCAGACCCTCGGCAGGTCACGCTCTCAGTCTGGTCCTTGTTTATTTCTTCTGTGAATTAGGCCTAACAACGTCACCTCAGTCCAGGCCTGGCACGACCCCAGTCATCCCAGCTCGCACCCTTCCGCTGGGCTCCTGGGGCCCCACACAGCCAGCTGCGTCTTGGGACTCGCTGGCTGCCTCTTTGTGAGCTGCAGCTCAGCCATCGCTGGCTGGTGTCTGGTCCCACAGCCTCGTCCACCCTGTGGAGAAGGGTGGTCATGGCCATGGTGAGCGGTGGCAGTTGAGTGACATGGGGCTTTTCCAATGCCTGGAAGAGGACCTTCTGGCTTTCTGGTCTCCCTAACTTGTGAGCTCCTTGGGGCCTGGCCCGGGGTCAGGAAATAATGATACAGGGCAGGGGTCCAGGCAGGAGGGACCCAGGGGAGTTGAGGGCAGGGGTCCAGGGCAGGGGCTCAGGGCTGGGGTTGACAGTCTGGATTCTGAAGTGAGATTGTGCTGGCTGGAACTGTGGCCCTGTCACTTCTTAACTTAAAACCTTGAGCAAGTTAAGAGATCTCTGTGCCTCACTCTCATCTGTGAAGTGGGTGCAGTAATAGGACCTGGCTTGTCGGGGCCGAGACCCTTAGATCAGAAGCCATGTGGAGACGCCCAAGCTGGAGCTGGCCCTGGGGGATGCTGGGTAATGTCACATGGCTGGGTGAGCCTGAGACAAAGCCAGCCCAGCACCTGCTTCCTAACAGCACGGAGGGCCCTGCAGGGCTGCAAGCGGGCAGGGGCGCGCCCTGAGCATCCTCCTGCCTGTCTGCTCTTCCGGCCCAATGGGCCGTTTATGACCCACTCCCAGGAGCTTCCTCTCTGGCCTGGATAAATCTCTCTGCTGGGGGCCTTGCTCCGAGCCAAAGCCTGGAGCAGCAGCCTGAGCGCCCCTGTGAGCCTCCTGCATGGCCCAGAGCACTGAACTCAAACCCAAATATTTCTAAAGTGGCCACAAACCTGCCCAAGCTGTTGGTCACCTCCTTCAGGCCAAAACCAAACACGGAACTGCTGACAGTGCTGAGCCCGCGCAAACTGGGAACGTCAAATTCTTCTTTGAACTTGAACCGGGCTGCTTCTTTTAGGCTGATGCAGAGGATACCCAGTCAGAACCAGCTCTGCCTCCCCACACGGTCGTTTCAACAGGCCAGGCGAAGGCCCACTTAGACCAGGTGAGGCTCACGCCTCAGGGCACAGGGCTGAGTTGCAGCGGGTGGCACAGCATTAGGCACCTGTGTGGAAACCCCACCCACACTGCAGGCCCACTGTCCCGTGTTTGTAAGACCTGCTCAATAAACAGCTCTTCTTGGCCTGAAGGATCCCCAGGTACTGAGTTCCGGGCATGTTCTTCTCCATTCTCCCCTTCCTGATGCCCAAGCCCAGCTCAGGTGCCCCCTTCTCTAGTTGCCTGAGGCGTGCTCTCCTGGAGCCCGGGCAGGATTTTGCGATCCCTCTCTTCACACTGATTGTTTACACAGCTACCTGCTTGCAGCGACCTCGACCCTTCCTCAGGGTCCTTGGCGCCCTCATCTCTTCACCCCTAGTTTAGTTCCTATGTAGTTAAAATTATGTGTCAGCTTGGCTGGGCCTGGTTGAGTTGGATGTAGTTATTCCCCATCATGAGACAGGTCATCAGCTCCATGGGGGAATGTTGATTGCAGCTGAGTAGCTGCGTTAGGGCTGTGGTCTGCTCCCAGTGCACAAGGAGAAGCTTGGGGAATGGCCTGCAGCCTTTTGGCAGCTTGGACCCTGGATGTACCTGAGTCTTTGTTCAGCAGCCTGCCATGTTTCTGCCGATCCTGGGACTCTGGGCTTGACTCAGTGGCCTGCCTTGTTGTTTGGTAATATTGGGACTGTGCCATCTTTACTTGCTGGCCTTGGGTTTCTCAGCCTCAGCAGCCTGAGTTAAGAGAAGTCTCTAGCTCCAATAGGCCAGGAGCAAGAGGCAGAGCTGAAGCCCAAGGTCAAGGGGCCTTTACCCAGCCCCTAGAGCTGGCACTTTGAACTGGGACTTCCAGCCTCCTGAACTGTAAGAGAATAAACTGTTAAAGCCGTCCACCTGTGCTATTTTCTGTCAGAGAAACACGAGGTAACCGAAACCCTGCCGGAGCCTGGCCTGTTCCACCCCAGTGCTCCTGCTCCAGAGGCGGTAGCAGATCTGGATTCAAATCTCAGCCCAGTTAACACTTTTTGAGTCTCCACCTGGCACCTGGGGACACCCATGCCCACCCTATAGGGTTGCTGTGAGGCTGGAGTGACAGAGTGTTGTCAGGTGGCAGCTCGGAGGAGGCGTGCAGGAAGCCAGGGTGAATCGCACGGAGCAGAGGGGCTGCTCACCGCGTCCCATCCGTGAAGGGGACATGCTGAGTAGGGTGCCGGCCTGCTGCTCAGGCCCCTGCCCTCAGAGCACCAGGGCCCCAATCACTTACGCGTCCCATAAACTCACTGCCATCGGGTCAATTCCACTCATAGCGACCTCTCCTGGGGTCTCCAAGGAGGTATCTCTATGGAAGTAGATTGCCCAATCTTCCTTCTGAGGAGTGGCTGGTGGGTTTGAACTGCCAGCCTTCTGGGTAGCAGTCAAATGCCTTAGGCACTACGCCACCAGAGCTCCCATTCCTCCCAGCCTGGTGTTTAAGGCCCTTTCTTGTGTGCCGACACAGGGAACCTGCACTTTGGGCCCTCAAAGCCTAGTGGGTCCAAAGTGCAGGTCTGCAGGTGGCACTAGCAGGTGCCCCAACCAGCCTGTGGGGGGCGTTTGAGGAAGTTACCAGAAGAGACAAGACACTTCCCTGGAGATGAGGAGGTTATCACAATGACCTGAGAGGCCTGTGGATGCGGTGTGGAGTTCTGCAAGGCAGGGGAGGCGGGAGGCTGCAGGCCAAGGGGCCTGGGGAGGCTAACGAGAACATGGATGGAGGAACAGATTTGACACTCGGCTGTGTGTCTGTCTCCTTACCCGATAAATGGAGGACTAAGTTCTGCCCTGCTGCCTCATCTCTCAGCTTGCTACAAACATTAAATATGAAACAACTAAACAGAAGAACAACTACATAAATAAAAGTAGTGTTTGTAAAACTTCCGTGGGCGATCCCTGTGTGTGCCAGGCCCTCTCGGCATGCGGTGTGTTGGTCCTCACACCCCTCGAGCTCCATGATGTGTCTGTGATTGGTCCCACTTCACAGATGAGAACACTGGGGCCCAGAGCGTTTAAGGAACTGGCCCAGTGTTCTGAAAGATAAAGCTGAGTTTGGATCCAAGTAGGCCCACTCCAGAGCCCGCACGGGGCAAGCTCTTACCCTCTTGGAGACAAAACGCGTGTGACAACCTGACAAGTGATGTCAGTTTAGTTGTACAGCACCACGGCAGCGGGTAGGGTGAATGGGAAGGAAGGGGCAGGGTGAGGATTTTGGCAAAGGTGGTCTGAAGACGTCTATCTGGGAACAGCCACCAGGTGGCGCAAGGCTGCACATGGCGGCTCTGGGCTGTGCAGTCCAGGGCCTGAGCTGGGATTCTGTTGAGATTCCAGGAGCGGACTAGGCCTCTGTAAGGTGGCAGGCCTAGGAACCCCTTGCTTAAGCCTCCAGGATTTTGCTGCACTCCAGGGATCCAGGCCCATCTGGCTGAGGTGCAGTTCTGAGGTCACTGGCCACACGTGGCTGGATCCAGCCCAGTCCCGGTGGCAGGTCAGCACCCAGCTCCTCCCCTCACTGCCCAGTGTCCATGAGCCCAGCGGGCAGCGGAGGTGGGCGGTCAGGTCACCACGCAGAGGTTCTGGGTAATCCGCCGCCAGAAGTTGCGTCTGCGGCTACTGAGTGCCACCTCCGCTGCCTCCTGGAAGACCGCGTGGACGTTGTCATGGAGCCGGGCTGAGCACTCCAGGTAGGCCACCGCGCCCACAGAGCGCGCCATCTCCTGGCCCTAACAGGGAGAGAGGACAGAGCTGCTATGAGGAGGGGACCACTGGGTGGCCCCCACGTCCAGCCTCCCTTGGCCCCCATGCCCGTCCCCTGCCCAAGTGCCTCGTAGGGGGTCTCCTACTTCAGCTCAGGGCTGGCTATCTGTCAAGGCACCAGCTGATTAACTTCCCAGATTAACCCAAGCCCCTGCAAAGACAAGTGGGTGACCCCTCTGGGCCTCAGCATCCTCCCCATGTACGAAGTGGGCGAGTGGGACTGACTCTTCCTTCTTCCTCTTCCATCTACAGGCAGAACCTTCTGGAATACTCATACTGACTCATGACAGCCTGAGTAGCCCCCTGTACCTGCTGGCCACCTGGGGCTGAGTGGCGGGGCTGGAACAGTGTCCCCTCTCCCGGCTCCCACCCCAACAGCCAGCCCACCACCTCTTCCCACGTTGCCTACCCTGTAGTAGGTCACCGGTTCCGACCTGTTCTTCCGCAGTTTCTTCACCAGCGACTTGTCCTTGCGCAGGTCCGTCTTGCAGCCCACGACCAGGATGGGTGCCTTCTTGCAGAAGTGTCTCATCTCCGGGTACCACTGCAGGGGTAGGGGCCGTCAGGAGTGCTGTCCCTCACTGACGACACTCCATGGGGGTGGCACCCTGGTCCCACACCACCCTCCTGCTGCCAGGCTTAACCCCAGCACTGCTGGTCAGCACACCCAATGTGTAGGGAGCTTGCCCTTTGTGCCAGTCTCTGATGGAAGAACTACACACATTAACTCGTCTGTCCCCCAGACCCTGTGAAGCAACTGGAATCATCCACCGAAGCCAGCTGCAGATGTGGGAACAGAGGTACAGAGAGGCGACGTACTTGGCCTTGCGCTTCCACAACTGGAAGTGGTAGGATTTGAGTCCATTTCCACCCACTTTAGAGCCCCGCCTTTCAGCCAGGTAAGGGCTCTCACTTTTGAAATTGGGCAAAATACAAAAATGTTAGTGAGCCTTTAAAAATGAAGTAGGTGTTAATTGGCATACATACTACACAAAAGCATTGTGCTACATCCTACTTCAGTGATTAGCAACTGGGACCCTATAAGCTTCCAAGGGCCATCCAGATGCAACAAAGCGTCTCTCCTCATCCACAACAAAGAAGAATGAAGAAAACCAAAGCTGCGTGTGTGGTGGTTAAGACTGTGTCAGCTTGGCTGGGCCCGGTTGAGTGGCTGGGCAGCTGAATGTAGTTATTCCCCATGATGACATTGGTAATTAACTCCATGGTGGAATCTACTGGAGCAGCTGAGTAGGGGCTGCTTTGGGTATGTGGTCTGATTCCCATATAGAAGAAGCAGCTTTGGGAATGGTCTCTAGCTTATGGCATGCTTGGACCCTGCATGTAGCCGTGTCATTGTTCAGCAGCCTGCCATGCTCTGCCGACCTTGGAACTTACAATGGACTTGAGTCAATGGCCTGCCGTGTGGTTTGGTAACATCGGGACCGTGCCTTTTTACTTGTCAACCTTGGGCTTGGCCTCAGCAGCCAGCAGCTGTCTGAGTGAAGAAAAGCCTCTAACTTCAATGGGCCGGGAGCAGGAGGCAGAGCTGGACCCCAAGGTTGAGGGGCCTTTACCCAGCCCCTAGAGCCTGGCACTTTGAACTTGGACTTAAAGCCTCCAAACTGTGAGAGAATAAATTACTGTTTGTATAAGCCATCCCACTTGTGGTATATTCCTGTCAGAGTGGCACTAGGGAACCAGAACAGCACGGAAACAATTAGTCCAAGGGACTAGTGGACCATGCAAACCTCAGCCTGTATGACCCTGAGACCAGAAGAACTAGATGGTGCCCAGCCACCACCGTCAGCCACTTGGAAAGGGATCAGTGTGGGAGATCCTGGATAGAGTGGGAGAAAAATGTGGAACAAAACTCAAAATCATGAAAAAAGACCACACTTACCAGTCTGATAGAGACTGGTGAAACCCCCAAGGCTGGGCCCTAGTCACCCTTAGGGCCTGGAATCAAACTCACTCCTGTGGCTTCCAGCCAAACAGTAGGCATATAAAATGAACATTTACACCAAGTAGGTGCACTCCTTAGAACAACTGACCACAGGAGAACAGAAGGGCAGCATTTGCACAGGGAGACGGCTCAGAGGGCAGGAGTGCACAGAGAAGAAGGGCACAGGGAAAAGGTAACCACAGGGAGGAAGTGGGAAGAGAGCCGTTGAATTGTGGGGCACTGAAGTCAGTGTCACGAAACAAAATGTGTGCAAACTTTTGAGTGGAACATGAATTTGCTCTGTAAACTTCCACCCAAATCACAATGAAACAAAAACAGGTTGTGCGTGTTAAAAAATAAATAAATGAAGCAACAGTGGAAACGGTGCTGGCGGGTCTGCCTCAGCCGAGGTTTGCAGGCCTGTGGGAGGGAGCGAGTCTGACTCACGGCACCCGCTCTGTGGGACGAGGCCAGAGAGCAGCAGGGCCGAGCTGTCCTGACCTGACTGCAGCAGGGGTGCTGGGAAGCTGGGGCAGGGGTGTGTGGGGTACACCCGCAGGAGCACAGGCCTGCTCAGCTTGTCTGTTCAGGGACAATCGGCGTCCGACTGCTGGGCTCAAACAGTGTCCTGTGAGAGATTCCAGCAGACGCTGGAACCCACTAACCCCCGTAGGGCTGGGGGGCCGGCAGCCCTTGCTGGAGCCCTTCTGGTGCAGTCCCGGGGTCCCAGGCCCAAGGTGGCCTCCCTGGCATCTACCCAAGGTGCAGTTCGGGGGTCACCGACCACATGGCAGGTCGGCACCCAGACTCCCACAACCCACCCTGCCCTTGGAAAGGCCCCCCTGGTGCGTCCACCTGGCTAAATCCAACCATGAGTTCTCAGCGACTCCAGGGATCAGCCCACCTCTGGGACCCCGTCTGTACTTTATCCTGGGACCCTGCTCTCCAGCTCCCCTCTGGCCTCACCGGTCTGCCTTCTCCTCCTTTTCCCCCAACACCTGCTCTTCTCTAGGGCCTCTCCAGGCACCATTACCCCAATGACCCCTAGTGGGTGGTACGGTGGTTCCTGGGGCCATTCAGCAGTGTCTTGTAAGGCATTTGCTCCAGGTGCCACGCCAGGTGCCACCCCAGGTGATATCCCAGACAATGACTCAGCAGGCATAGCTGGGTGAGTCTCATTACATGGAGGTGTGAGCACTGGTTGTGCTGACATGAGGGATTCAACAGAACTTAGGGGCTCGATGTCCCTGGATTCCTGATTCTCTGCCCATATGCCTCCATCACAAGTTTCTGGATCCCATTTTTTCCCAGTCAATGCCCTCGCTTTAACTTCAGACACCATTCGAGGTTCAGAATTCAATTGCCACTGTAATTCAGCCACTCTTACAATAAGACTTGGGTTTGGTTTTTGGAAGTATCAGCTCTGTTAGTACGAGAAAAGAGGCGTCCTTTCAGGGCACAAGTGGAAACGTTGAGGTCTTTTATGCTGTGACTCTGAAGCCCTGAGCTCATCTTGTTCTCCCACCACTTTGTCTAGCGTAAGGAGGACCAACCAACTAGCTTCCTTACACTCCTCATGCTGACAGAATTGCAGAGAAGTATCAAACATGCGATCACCTCACTTCTCAAAAATCCTTGATCTACTCATGGTGTTATTCTGTAGGGACCAGCAGCACCCTCTTTACTGAGGGTGGCAGCGTTATCAGCACCTTTACGACTAATCAAACTTCAGAACCAATTTGGGAAACTTATGGTTTTGTTTCTCTAGATCCACTCTCAGTACGAAGTGTCTTAGGCCGGGTTCTCTAGAGAAGCAAAACCGGTGAAGATCACATATACGTAGAGAGAGAAATTTATGGCAGGGAAGTGTCTCACACAGTTGTAGAGGTTGACAAGTCCCAAGTCTGTGGGTCAAACGTCAAGCTGGAAGGTTCTCCTTACTCACACAGCTGCAGGGGCTGACAAACGCAAGATTGGCAGGCAGTCTGGCAGGGTGCTGGCTTTGGTGGATGATAAATCCAAGACTGGCAGGTCAAATGGCTTGCAGGCTACAAAGGCAACCATCCCAAGATCAACAGGGAATATGGCAGGGTTCTGGTTCAAGTCCAGGAACCGGAGATGATGATGAACTAGATGCAGGAACAAGATCCAGAACAAAGCCAGAGAATTTTCCAGGACATCAATATATATTGGATG